ACACACACACACACACACACACACACACAGGGAGACACAATGTCAAAGGGTAAATCTGATTTAAGACAAGGCTAATAGTCCTCTGATTACCAAACATCATATCGCATTATACATATATTTGTGCCATTTTCCTTTATTAATGCATTTCTAAAACGTTTAGGAAAGTGGAGCTACAATGTATTTTAATCAACACAATCATTCTCATGTTCCAGCTCCTTAATAAGGAGGATTTGCTGCTTCTTTTTATCTCGCATTGTAAACTGAATGTCTTTAGATTCAGGGCAGTAAGTTAGTGGTTTTAGGCGTAAAGAGCTCAATACTTTAACCACTGATGCATAGATTAAACAGAAACTAAAAACACAGAAAGAAAATTCATTCATTGAAATTGTCAGCCAAACTCTGGTTTCCTGCAGGTTGTGAATGGAGCTGTCTCTCTCCTTTAAAATGAAATGATGTGTGAAGTTGACAGTATTAAGCAGACAGACGTAGACAGATGAAGGAAATTATCTGCAGTGACCAGTGATAAGTGCCTGCTATTCCCTCTCCTTGCCTATAGAGGGCAGTGGCATATTACTGTGTTGATGTCAGGCCCTCAGCTCACAGACTCCCAGGAATCCCAGCGCAGGAGGCAGGATTTGTACCTTGTCTAGAAAAAGGCCTGGGAGGCTCAGTTCAAAGGAGAAGTAAGGCCCCGTAAGTGGTGCAGATCATTAATGCCTGAGTTAAACAGAAATAGTCTTCAGTGTCGTAAGTCAGAGTGTTGATTCTTTTTTTGTGGTACCAGGGTGTTTTTTGGTTTCACAAAAGAAGATTGTCTAGATCAAAAACATAACCCCCTATGACCTGAAGCACTCAAAACTTTACACGAAGAAACATGTATTAGAGAAAATGCCTGTGAGAGAAAGTGTGTACCCTGTTTGAGGCAGGCAGGGCTGCAGAATGTTTGGAACATATAAACTTTTTATTCTGCAGCTTAGAATGCAGGTTTTTATACAATCATCACACATTTTCCACCTGCTCTGTGCGTAAAACAAGATTCAGTTATGTCAGTGATGATGGGCGTGTAGCGTTCACATCTGCTGGCACCCAAACTGAGTTATGGACATGCTACTGGTGTCAGAATATATTGTCATGCACCTGTGTCCTCGAATATGCAATCTGTACGAGGAATAGGATGCATCGATAAGATGTACAGGATGTCTCTACCAAAGTCTGCATGGCTGAGCTCGAAGGACAGGATGTATTTATCATGTTTTATGCACAGTTGCAAACATAATCCTGCTGTTGTTACTATGGAAATGAGAAGCCAGCTCTCTCATCAGTGCCACTGGCGCAGTGGGAAATTATAGGACATGATCCCTTGTCATCTATGTCGTCTTCAGAGAGGAGAGGAAGGGCATGCAGTGGAGAGGGGTTGTGTGTGTGAAATGTGTTTAAAAATAGGATAAGATACACTAACATACCAGCTCTTTACCATAACTAGAGACATACATGTTGCTATACGAGGAGGGAGATAGAGGAATTTTAAAAACGTTTAAAATAAGAATGTCAGCAGAGCACGTGTTGATATAATATATAAATAACACACAAGTCCAAATTTTATCTTTAAAAAAGACACACACACACACACACAAACACACACACACACAGCTGGGGTGTGTTTTATAGACTTCTGTAGAGAGGAGATAGCATATAGCTCCTGGCACCAAGTACACACTACTATCCTTCACCATATTCATGCCAAACTAAACTTAACCTAACCACTATTCACATCGTACCAATAACCTTAACCAAGAGCTCAGAAATTACATTTTTCTTCATTAGGACCAAGCTTTGATCCCTATGAGGTCTACTGGTCCTGACTTTGTGCACGACACTCTTTGGCATTAGTGCATTCCGTTGCCCCTAATCTTACCCATAACTTTTTAACCTTAGACTAACCCTAAAATGCTCAGACAGCCCTTTGAAAAAGTGAGGATGAGCCAAAATGTCTCATTAGGTCTTTACAACTTAAACTGGTCCTCACACACATATATAAATGCCAAGGCATGGTGCCAAATCAGGCAGCCTCATCACCGGCTACTGTTGGACTCATGACCTGACTCTAGATCATCACATAGCCATCTGCATGGTCACACACACACACAGCCTGGGTGATTTGGCTCCAACATGACTGTATTTGTTGACAGGGCCATGCAGCACCTTCGGCATGTTCGTGGCAGATTTCTGTGGAAACAGCAGGAGCACACTCTCCACTGCTACAAACCCTATGGCTACCCATCAAGACGTTGTGATCCGCTGTCACATGAATCTTTGTATCTTCCATAAGTAAGTGCTTCAGGATTTAGGAAAAGCCAAATCATCTTCAGACTGACATTCCAGCATTTTAAAAAAGGTTTAGCAATAAGCCATTAGTGACTGAGTTACAGTGATTTGTGAACAGCTCTGAGGTTAAAAACAGGATTTCACTGAGTGTCTCTTGAAATCTGCATGAAATGCTATAGGGGAAACACAGCATGTAACAAAAAAAAAGGAAAGAAGGCTAATGAAAGCTTATAGAATGAACACAGTCTTTTACATACATACCTCTGGCCACCCTGCTTGTTGAAGGTGCATGCCAATGCCACCACCTGACCAGTGGCCCTGCTGACCACTGGAACACACAGCATGGAGGAGATCTCACAGCCTAACATACTGGACAGCTGCCGACGCTCCTCCTGAGAGAAAGACAGACAAAAAGATATGATCAGATAGATAGGTGGGTAGGTAAGTATAGATAATTAGGTTATTTAGTTGGTTGGTTGGTAGGTACTTATTAAGGTAGTTGGTAATTTGGTTGGTTGGTTGGTAGTTAGGTAGGTAGGTAGGTAGGTAGGTAGGCAGGTAGGTTGGTTGGTAAGTATAGGTAGGAAGGTAGGTAGGTAGTTGTTTGGTTAGTATGTAGATAGGCTGGTAGGCAGGTAGTTATTTTGGTCAGTAGGTTGGTAAGTAGGTAGGTAAGTAAGTAGGTAGGTAGACACGTAGGTGGGTAGGTAGTTGTTTGATTAGTAGGTAGATATGCAGGTAGGCAGGTTGTTATTTGGTCAGTAGGTAGGTAGGAAGGTAAGTAGGTAGGAAGGTAGATAGTTGTTTGGTTGGCAGGTAGGTAGGGTAGTCGGTTGGTAGGTAGGTAGGTTAGTAGGCAGGTGTTTAGTTGCTAGGTAGGTAGGTTGGTAAGTAGGTCTTTGGGTGGTAGGTAGGTAGGTTAGACAGACAGATGTGTTCTTACTGCACTGATGTCCTGAAGCGTAATTGACTTCTTCTTTTCAACAACCTGACCGAAACGTCCAAACATCAGCTGAATAGACAAGAGAAAAGGAGAGAGAGATAAAGACGGGGTGATTGAAAATGAGTGTAATGAGGGTGAGAGGCAGAGAGAACAAGAGAAATGGAGAAACTGGTGCATTTTACAGAAGCAAAATATATAAATAAAGCTTGTTTATTCAGCGAGAAGCCTATTAGCTCCCTTGTTAAATCAGTGCAAATGGTCTATCCAGGGTGCATTTTTTTGTGTCCTAATATCTCTCTACACCAACTATTATCAAGATTTCACAGATCATTTATGCTGGAGTACACAGTCTATTCACTCCATAATGGAAAGCCTGCTAAAATAAGATGTCTGCAGCTCAACCAGGGACAGGAGAGTGAGAGCAACCCAGAGGAAACAAATACTATTCTTGGCCAAATTTCTTAATTACAACCACTGCCAGGGATTCTAAAAGATTTAAATTGGGAGGTTTATTTAATCATGTCAGTCAAAGAAACTTACGAGATGGGTTTCAATGCCTATAATAAATAAAGAGGACAAATGGCAACTAAATATAATGACAAAATAAACTCATCTGTATATTTTATACTGGTAATGATGATGTTTTTTGACCTCACCGGGAAGCTGATCTCCTCTTCCAGGACTTTGTCTCCAACCACCTACAGGTCACAAAGGTCAAAGGTTATTGTTTATTCAAATGTTAATGTCCAAATACTCTTTGGTGAATGAGTCACTGTTAATGTGTGTGAGTTTCTATCCTGGTTGAGACCCCAAACTGACATATGAGTCATGCACAGGGGACCAGTCTAACTTGTAGCCACCAAATCTCTGTCCCATTGCAATCAAAAGCCTGTTGATGTGCCTGATGCAATTTTCTTGAAAAAAAACCCCAAAAAAACTGGACCCCATGAAGTATGTTTTAATTAGAAAGGGTGCTTGGATTTGCACCCCTAGTGGTCATAGCTGGCATTTGCATATGTAAGCTTGCACTTGTGGCGGTAAGTTTCATGACAAAGAAAGTGTCTGTGTGTGTGTACCTGGCAAAACAGCTGGTGGTTGTCCTCGGACACCAGTAGTAGACAACAACACTGCGATTGAGTCTGCTGCTGCAGCTGAAGGGAGAAACCGAACACAACATGATTCTCGGTCAGATTGTTTTTAAAGCCTTAATCTAAGACTCTATGGAGCGTAGCTAAGGTGAGAAGCAGAGATGAGAGATCAGTGGACAATGGAAAATGACTGGAGTAAGTGAGGGGCAAGAATTCAATACTATCTCCACTAAAATCAGCCTGGTTTTATTGTGACTTAAATGGATTGAGTGAGGGGATATATATAAAACTGAGCACATACATATATAGTCTTTTACGCGTATTGTCAGTCAACTGCTTTACATTTATATAGACATTCATATACTTTTCCACAAATATAACTAACTTGCTAAATACATGTGTGTATCTTTGGTCATTTTCTTTTTCTTTTCCGACAATAATCTTACTATTAATAATCAATACATCAAATACATCAACCTTTACTCATGATATCTTGTATTTAATGATCATCTCATCAAAAATGAATTACAATGCACTGATTCAAGCACAAGATTAAGGTTTTCCATTGAATTGGAAATCTCTAAATCTCTGCATAGACATTGAAAGACCTGTTTAGCTGTCTTTTTGTGTGTAAGTGTGTGTGAGTATCTGGATGTCTCTGCTGCCGTGTTCTTTGTCCTGAGGAGTTGCAACCAATATCCTGCTGTTGTCTCTGATGGGAAACATTCCATTTACATTCATAGCCTGAAATAGACTCCGAGGTGCAAACACGTACACCTTTATACATGTTGACACAAATACTATCAGTGCACAAGCAATATACACAGACGTACATGCACGCTCGGACACCCATGCGCAGTTATATGTAAGAGCAGCGTTTCCTCACACAATATTCTTCTGTGCTAGATGGAGAACAATCAGGACAGGAATAAACAACAGCTGCTGCCAACACACTCGCAGTCATACACGCACACACGTAAAGTATGTTGCTGTGCCCACATATAATAATAAGATCCCCAAACCCCCCCCCCCAAATAGTGCTAATCTCATAAGAGCTGCCCCAAGCACTACCCCACTAAACTGACGATTCTTCAGAAGCAACAAATTCATGCTCCTTTTTCTACCCTCCCTCTTCTCCCATTTCCCTCCCTCCTTTTTACAACTGTAACAATAAACAGGCGAAACAAATCAAGTCGCACTCAAAACACATTTTAAAACCCCCGCAGGTTTTTACAACCTCTCCCTTCCTTCAAATGCATGTTGGAGGCATCGAAAGCTGACGTTGTGTTGTACACGCAGGCCGCACCGCAGCAGCGCTGTTTGACCACACAGAGACGGTCCTGCAACCGTCAAGGTAGAACAGGTGCAGATGGATGATAATAATCCCTCACCATTCTCAGATTTGACCATTTTAATGCTGAAATTAGTCGATTTTTAAAAAGAACAGATCCGATAAAACTAATTATCACAATGTTTTTTTTACATGCTGCCAAAATGAATATAATTTTCTGCTACAAGAGCACAGCAGTTAAAAGTAAATGAGTTTCTCTTATTAAACTGATGACATGATAGAAAATTCAGAAAAGAATGGGTAGAAAATGAGCTGTTGATTATGCATCAGAATCAAAGAATAAAACAGGCCTAGTGCTTTAGCTGTTAATGGTATTTGTAAAATATGATTTTTTCATATATTTGTTAATTAAAAACTGCAGTCTTTTCTGTTAAAGAAATACAATAAACACTGAAGCATTTCCAGACTTTCTGTTTTTCGAAATAAAAAATAAAAAAACACACAAATAATGAGCAGAGATCCTGTGTTTAGGCTTTATAATCTATAATCTATGGTACAATTGGAATATAAAATCTTAATTTTAGTGCTAATGTCTGATTTCAATAGTCTACAGTCATTATGTATTTATTCGGTCCCGCACTTCGAGGTGAGCTCCTACAGTTAAAGATAGTGACCTATAGTTCACAATCAGACAAGACATCAAGTCCTTTATGCTCAGTCTGAGAAACGAACCACAAGTGCTTCGCATATATTCATTTGGCTTTTATGACGCTCTGATAGAGGCTTTGTATCTCTGATGCAGTATAACCTTGACCTCTCTTTCCTCTCTATCGCGTCTTCATCTATGAATCATTTCATACATTTAAAACTGTTGTCAGGTTTCTGCGCAAACTGTAACTGAAGCCTGATATCTTTCCATCATGTATATGGAGGGGGTGCATGCTGATGAAGTAATTGTGTGATAAAGAGCCTGTGGTATAGGCACTGACAGGGAGAGGGGAAGGATGGGAAGGATGTCATGTTTTGCATGTGCTGTACATTTTTAACTGTGCATGTGTACTGTGTGGGAGTGTGTGAGTGATCTCGACCACTTACATAATTGATGACTTTGAGCTGGAGAGAGGCTGCGTCAAGGTCATAGAGCTCGCCTGAAAGTGAAAAGGGAGTGAGAGAGAGACCGTGATGGGAGCGAAAAAACCAGAGACGAGCAAGGGCAGATTGGTGTCGGGGAAGGACGGGAATGCAGAACATGTACGCGAGTGGACAGAAAGCAATCCGCGGAGGGATGCACTGAGACAGCGAGGTCGAGGAAGGGTGAACGCAAACCAGCTAACAGAGGGACTAATAATGAAGACAAGACAAGAGATGGAGGGATGCCTGGACTGCATATAAAGACAAAAATAAAGTGTTGGACGGGGAAGAAGGAGAAGAAGAAAGGACAGAAAAACCTAAGGGGACTACAGTCAACTCATATTTGTTGACAATTACCAGGGAGTAAACAAGATGGATGTGTGAGTGTGTGTTTGTGTGTGTGTGTGTGTGTGAGTGTAGCAGCAGCATTAGCGAGTCCACTTTCATTATGCATGAGATTTTAAACAGAGTTTTTGCAAAGCTTTCTGTTTTCCTACAGGACTTGTCACATATTCCCTGTGCCAGTGACAGAGTCCATCTAAATTCATAGAGCTTTTTATCCAGATGGGCTTCTATATTAACGTACCTCACCTCTCATACACCAGTATGTGTGTGTGTGACCAGTGTCAGAGTGTGTGAGCATAAGAGTGTGTGTGTCTAAGCATATGTGAGTATGTGTGCAAATGTGTGTGTGTGTGTGAGAGAGAGAGAGAGAAATTGTGTGTGTATATATGCATGGGAGTATATGAGCATGTGTTTGTGCATGTGTGTTCCAACATTACCGCAGAGCTGAAGAATGTTGCGATCCAGCTCGCAGTAGTCCTGCTCTGATACGTTGAGATGCAGCAGTGCATTGTGGGACTGTACAGGTGAGGGGCTGAGGGGAGGCCTCTGGTAGGACGTCTGAATGGCCTGGACTCGCACGCACGCCACCGAGGCCTGGGATGACACACATAAGGGCACCAAAGCCAGTTGAGAATAAAAAGATGAAATACTGATTGCAATTCATTCATCCAGTCGATTAAAACCATTGGAAAGGTGATGTAAATATCACAAAGGAATCCCTACTGAGCTTGTGTGTATGATCACAACATGCAAACTTTTAGTTGCATCTAGTGAATTTAAATGAGGTTTAACAAGGGGACTGTTGGGCCTTGGTGGAAGTCTGCACTCTTTAGGTAAATTTAGGCGCGGCTTCCTTTAGAGGCTATTTCTGTGTCTACATCTGTTCATATCATTGGCAAAGATCTGCCTTCATACAGGCGGTGCATAACCTCTTCTGTAAAACATGGAGAGCACCATGATGAAGGTTGTATATCGGCTCTTGTTGCCAAGTTGTTTTATTTTATTATGTTTATGGCAAATACGTGAAACAGAAATGCTTACGTGTTTTTCCAGAATGTTAAGATGCAGTTCATCCTGATCAGTCAGTGGATTACAGCCAACCTGCAACACACAAACGCACATCAGTCCAGTCCAGTGCATGAGCTAGACATCCAGGATGTTTCTCTGTGACTTAAAACCACTGAATCCATGTTATTCATTATTCATTTTCATAATGACAAATCTCCATGACATTTATTATTGCATTGAAACCCCAGCAAATGTCCTTGAAAGCAAGGTCTCACCAGTATGACAGTAATGACCTTGTCCCGCTCCTGGTTCAAGATAGGAATCACAACAGCTGAGAGACAGAGGGAGAGAGAGAGAGAGAAAGAAGGGGGACAAGCATTCATAATACATAACACACTGATTCACACAAAACAGACCTTTTTTAATTTTCTCCTCATGTCCTTGTCGTGCTCTTAATATTATTTGTTCTCCCTCCATGTAACACTAACACAAGTATATAGAGGAAATGAACATAGAGGGAAAAAAATGATGTCCTTGCATAACACTGTTGCGTCTTCTCTTTCATCTCCTTTCATTTGCGAGTCAAGTCGATGTAGAGCAGATAGCTGCAGCAGATCCACGCGGCCAAAATAAGTCTGATAACTCAGGGTTGTTGTGTTTGTTTGTACAGAACATGCAGAATGATGATTTGGCCACTTTAGACTCTTATTTCCTCAATATTGATTGTTCATCGGTATTTATTGAGCTACTATTATTCAGTAGTACTCTTAGATGTTTCTGTGATTACATCCCTCAAGGTTATTCTCTCATTTCTCACTCTTAATGAAAAACAAAAATGTTAATTTGGAGAGTGTAGAGTCGATTCACTCTCCTCCAGTCAAGCTCCTGGGTGTTTTTTTCTTGTTCTACAACTTTCATCACTTTTTTGTCTCGTCCAATTTTGTTGCCCACACAGCTCCATACCTCTTGCTCAGCCATCATCATCTAATGTTCACTACTTCTCTCTCTGTTCTCAAATCTCTCAGCTCCTCTGTATGCACAGAACAACGCTCGCACAAGCAGGCGAACAAGCATGCACACACACACACTCAGATTTGCTCCATTTGTGTGTCCCCAAGCTTGATTCACACACACACACACACACCTCTTCTGTGTGCCGCTAACGGTGCTGCGAGGCAGATTCTGTATTTCTCTGGCAGCTCAGATGGAGGTAGGCCGGCACACTGACATCTCTTCAGCTGGTCTGCGATACTCCTAAGACAGACACACACAAACACACATGTTGAGCTTGACTCAGGGTTGGGAGGGAATGTTACCTACAGCATGTTGGTCAGAGCCAGGAACAGAGAGCCAGAGAGCGGTAGAGAGAGAGAGAGAGCCAGAGAGAGGTAGAGAGAGAGAGAGAGAGAGAGAGAGGTAGAGAGAGAGAGAGAGAGAGAGAGAGAGAGAGACAGTGTGTCAGACAGTGGGGAGACAAACAGGAAGAGCGGATTTGGAAGACAATCTGAGCAAATGGAAAAACAATCAGCAACATTACAAAAACAGACACGTTGTGTTCATTGATACTGACCAAAACACAAAAAACTGAACGCATGAATAGTTCTATTATTCATTGTGACATTAGATGAAATCAATATGGCAACTTGTGTGTGTGTGTGTGTGTGTGTGTGTGTGTGTGTGTGTGTGTGTTAATGCTGGCCAGGTGTGAAGCCAGGTGTCATGGTGGTTTAGGTGTAAGTTTGTGTTACAGTTGATAGAAAGGGCAGCTTTCTTATGCTAAAATATAAGACATGAACTTGTTTACTCTGGACTGACCACTGCCAACGACACACAGACACACACACAAACGCACAAAACACGTGTTCAGTAAACAAACACAGTGAAACTTGCATGAATATGGAAATTAACGACAAAAAGAAGGAAAAAACTTTTACACACATACACACACTCAGCAGTGGCTAAACGTCTGCATTGTGCCTCGATGTAAAAATGTCCATTTAGCTCATTCTCATTGTAGTTTATCATTGTGAAAAATACAGCTGGCATTTATTTAATGTCTGTTCAAATCAGCTTTAGTGCGCGATCAGGAAGCCAATTTATTCTGAGCATGTTAAAAGAAAAACATGAAACCCTCAGAGGCAGTGAGAGTGAGCTGGAGCAGTGGGACCCGACGTGTTTACAGTGTGGACGGTGAGGCCTGTGGCAGCAGTTAGCAGCTGCAGCAGCACAGACTTGGAGATGAGCAACCGGCCACAGTGATGTGTGTGGATATGTGAGTGTGGTGCTCATACAGATCAGCTGATGATTAATTGATGTGGGTGGTGCTCATTACTGAACCTGTACTATGAAATCCACCCGTCATAACTGCTTAACCACTCCCCCCTCTTCTGTTCTGGTACCACTGTGTACACTATGTAAGATACATAGCTCACAATTGAAACACAGTGTGGAAAGCATTGTGGTAGAGCTTGCATACTTCAGTTACATGATGTGTAAATTCATTTTGCAGCTGTGGATTTTGCATTAAGCAGCACAGTGCAGCACTGTCACCTCACAGCAAGAAAGTACCTTGTTCGATCCCAGTTTGGCCAGGGTCTGTGTGTGTGGACTGTGAAGACTCTGGTCATCTGCAGTGAAAGCACCAGCAGGGTGCGCACACACAGGTATGTCCTGATTGCTCATGTTTGTTACAGTCCTGTCAGACACAGGCGTTTTTATTGATGTCTATTGAGACATGAAGACAATTTCACCAAATGAGATTAAAAGTGTTTCAGACACATATTACCAATCCTACCTTAAATTGAATGTCAATGCGACATAATTATATCAATATGGGCAATTTAGATTGAATTGTAAACCATCCATTGATGATGGATTATGTGTTTCCTCTGAGCATGTTGTGCATCTTGTGTCATACAGTTTGATAGGCTGTATGACAATACAAGGAAAATTAAAATAATTCAAGAGTTCAGTCCTAAATCTATATATGTAGTGTACATATAACTTTTATTAGTATTCTTTCAAAATGAACGCAGTCCAAATGCTGATTACACATTAATCATCTGCAATCTGCCAATAATAAGTGAATTAATCAAAATGTGAATCGTCCTTTTCACAAAACTACTCCAATTAAAAAAGGATTGCAGCAGTTGTGCAGCAGCATTGTGAATCACTATATTGCGAATCTCTTTAACCTTGAGCATTGCATCTACCTACTGCAATATATCTGACAAAGGCCGGTTTAGAGGGAAAATTTCACTCATCTTGTACAACACGCAGTTTCGAGGATAAACAATCAAGAACGATTTCTTTGCAGATTCTTTGCAATTTTGTGTGTCTGTGTGTGTCAAGGTCCAGTTAATGGGTTTGTATGCAATAGAAAATGGGCTCAAACAACTCGGCCTTCTGCCTTTCAGATGGGTTTATGGAGTGTGTGCATGTTTGTGCTTTTGTGTGTGTGTGTAAAAAACAGGCTTATATAAGCAGGTGAACTGGAGAGAGAAAGTAACAAAGTGCCCTGTAGCTCTTTTAATATCCCCACTACCTCAAGACTGCATACAGCCCTGATAGTGTGTTAGCGAATATGTGCTTTGTGTGTGTGTGTGTGTGAGTGAGTGCACTGGGTTGTTTGTGTCTTGTGTCCCTGCGTACTTGTGCATAAGCATGTTAGTGTGTGCGATCCTGTGTTTGTGTGGCAATGAGGTGTTGGAAAAGAGGTTCTTGTCTGACAAACAGACAGTTTCATCAATAATGTAGTGATGGTTTTTGTCAGTGTCCAGGCAGCAGGCGCAGCAGCACGCAGGGTTGTAGAGCTTCGGCAAGCACTTAAGAGAGGAGAGGATCGCCATGTCCTACCGAGGGACCCCAGGCACTGTCACCTTGGCTATTAGCCCTGCAACGCCTCCACGGGGAGAGGGCTTGAAGGTGAGAGAGGGAGAGGAGCGTCAGGGAGGGGAGGCGGCGGGGTAGAGAGTAGAGAGACCGAAACACAACCGGCTTAGTGCTTCATCGCTCTTCGGGGAGAGAGTGGGCATGGAGGGGAAAAAGGGCAAAGACAGGCTGATGCAGTGAAGTGGGAAGGTGGAATAGCAGATGACAGCGGAAGGGGAGAGCTTGTTAGAGAGACGGGGGGGATGTGTAATGTGAGGAGGGGAAAAAAAAGAAAAAGTGAGATGAAGGGAGAGTTGTAATGAGAAAGCAATAGAGATGAGAGATGAAGAGGATAAAAGAAAAGGCGAGCGCCGCTTTGTGTCTCGATGATGACATCTCCCTCTGTGATGCTCTCGTGTTGATGACGTGATTTTGGGTCGAAGCTGTTCATATTCATTCAGGTGCCACCTGCTTTTCACGCAGAGAAAAGAGCTGTGTGTGTGTGTGTGTGTGTGTGTTTCCCCCTCTCTTCGTCTCACCCTCATTCTATTGCTTTTCAGGGTGTCACCGCCCTCAGCGACGTTGGAGCAAATCAGTGCACAGCGGTGATTCACCGAGACAAAACATCTGCTGCTCGCTGCATGGAGACACACACACAGACACACATGCATGAGCAGCACACACCTGATCTTTCCCTCCAGAGGCAGTTCATGCGGCGGGTCGTCAGACAGCAGCCTCGAGTCTCCCTCCAGAATGTAGACACATACACACTCCTAAAAAAAACACACACACATTTACGTGCACATTCATTTGTAGTATTAATCAGATCTTAACTAATGAAATGAGTAATGAGCCTCATCCATTTAAAACCCAGGTCTGTGTTCCTGCTCGCATGTCAGGACAGAGACATTTAGCTCCACTGCGCTGAAAACACTGAGAGGAAAATCAAGAATTTTCCAATCATGTTCTACTATTTGTGCAAATTTTGTGTGTGTTTGTGCTCAATACCGTGCTGGATAGCAGCTCCTGAATGCTGTCTCGAAGGGCCACTTGCAGCGAGCGAGCGTCAACAACCGCCGCCAGCCGCAGCAAAGCATCCTGGGGAGGGAGACAAACAGATGCCCTGATGTCTGTTAGGTTGTTTGCTTATGATCTCAACGTGCGGCTCCAGAAACCTGAGGCCTCTGTGATTATTTTGTTTTTTTTTATGGGTACAAGGTTTATGTTGCGACAACTCTTCCCCAGATATTTAGCTTGGCAGGCAGCAAAGGCCTCTGAAACAATATTTAAACTGTGACACACTCAGTGCACACACAGAGCAAATCTGTGCCTGTTGGAGAAATGAGTGAGGCACTTGAAAATGAACTGAGCTTAGACGTGTCGGGATTAGGGGAGTTAGTTTTGCTCTTCAGGACACTCTGGGCTTTTGTTTCATTTTGGTGAAAACCAAACACTTAACAATTAGTTATCATTGTTCAGGAGACAAAAACAGTCAGATTCTGTGATGGGTGGGTGAGTGGGTTAGGTAGGTGAGTAGGTAGTCAGGTAGGTGGGTAGATAGGTAGGTGGATGGATAGATGGACTTTATTGATCCCAAACTGGGAAATTCTTGAAATGAAAGAGCACATATACTGGCAAATATCTCATGTTTCACATTATTTATATTTACTTCCCTCACTGATGCTTCTTTTTAAGATTTGATTGAGGCACTTAACACGGAGAGAAGTGCTGTGTGCGAACATGGTGGTTATCTTAATTACAGTCTGCCTCTGCTCGTCTAATCAAATTTAACAATTTCTTTTTCCATCTTTTTGACTTTCCACTTCAAAACTCAGCACATCGACAGACCCCTAAAACAGACGAGCGTGAAGTATATCATCTCAGCTGAAATAGACCGCAGAGAAGTGACCCCTCTTCACAGCAAAGACTGGGCGTTTGTTTGTTTGTATTCTGAACTCATCTAAAGTGTTTATTGCTTTTCTGAATGGCCACGTTGGTGGGGGTCTTAAGGCTGCCATCATAGAGAGAGGTGAGACATGTTTAAACTACAAATGGAAATAATGTTGTAGTCACAGAAGCACAAACTAAAAAGAAAGAAGTTTGAATTCTATCTCCGTTCTTCTCTTTACACGCCCAGCTGATCACTCCAAGAAGTGGGCGTATACTTGCCCAATTGTCAGTTTTGGAAAGAAGAAAATTGCAAAAAAGACAGAAAGAAAAACACCCAGACCTTCAATTTTGCTGTCAAAAAGTGCATAGGGGCGAGGGTGTTTCAGAGGCTGTTTGACCAGCCGACAAACACTTTATTTGAAGCATACTAATGCTTTAAAAGGGACAATATAGCTGCAAGGTGAGAGCAGTTTGTTTTCGCTTCATTCCTCTAAAAGCAGCTTTCTGCTTTAATAAAGATTGGGTCTGGAGACATGGGGGATAGGAAATCAACAGAGAGGATCTGAGATAACAGGAGATGTTACATTTTAAGGTCATGGAAGATTTTTGTATTTTCACTTTCCACAACACAAACACTAAAAACAGGTGTATACAATAGGCTTGGGCGATCCGTTAAAATGTTCCAATCGGCCACAGTCAGCCAAACAACCATCGATTTACATTATATCTGTGCATGTGTGTGCCCATGTCACCAGTATAAGCAAATGTAATGATGGAAGAGCTTGTTGCAAAGAAGAATGCAAAATGACCTATTTGGGATTATTTTGGCTTTAAATCAGACAAAACCACCGACCTGAAGGAGTCAAGAGATGGCAAAAGATTCAAACACAATGCATGTGCACAAGCATTTACAAATACAACATCCTGCTGAGCACAATACTGAGTGATTTTTAGGGAGAACAAAAACTTGCATAATAACTCAGACCCTGTTCAGACCTGGTATCGACATCCATCCTGAGAGATCGAACCCTAACCCTATGGACTGCATTAATGAATTATAAGATACATATAATAAGAAGTGCCTGTTCTTAGGTTAGGTTAGACTTGAATAAATTCTTGAGGAGAGAGATTGATATGAGCAAAATAAAATTACAAATTGCCCAAACGATCGGCCAAAAAACAACAAAACAACCGACAATCGATGATATATTGGTCCAATCTCCCAAACCTCGTAAAGAGCTGCATCATCTTACAACCACAGCTTTATTATCAGACGAGTGCTCATAACACCCCATGTGACAGCTATATAAAATAAATTCACTATTTATGCACTGTGTGCAGCGTGCTTAAATCCCTACCAGCTCCAGTTATCACACTGCATTATGATTACATGTAACTGCAGTTTAAAGACACATCCCAGTGGGACTTGGAAAATCTGATCAAAGCGTGGAAAAACATTGGAAGAAAACGATGAGGCTTAAGACTCTGCAGATTTAAAAACTTTGCACTGAATATAAATTGGAGAGAAGATGATAATGTTGAAAATAATGTCTGCTGCTGCCAGATCATCCTCCTTTAGTCATTTCTGACAAAGCTTTCAGAGTTACACAGCGGAGCCGGAAGGAAGAGGAAGAGCTGCTCGATGTTCCACTGAGGTTGACCATCTGTCGGCCTCTGCTTTAATTTGTCTTCCTCCTTCTTTTTTTGACACCTTCCTCTTATCCCGTTCTCCTCCACCTCTCACTGAAGTTCATGTTGAGTTCAGTCGGGGGAAAGAGATGGTGAAGGAGAAGGCGGGTGGTGTTTGGGTGGTTGCAGTGGGGGGGGGGGAGACATGGGCGCGATGGAGAGACAGTGCAGGGTTGTCATGCCTGAGCACTCAGTGTTGGTTATTACATATGATTAGATATGATTAAATGTGATTAACTTTGATCACTCAATCAGCCCGCCAGAGTGCTGTTGTAATGAAGCTGGAGCTCATCCAGTGTGTGTGTGTGTGTGTGTGTGTGTGTGTGTCTGTGTGTGTGTGTGTTTGAGAGACAAAGAATTTGAGTTAAGCCATGGATCTTGAAATGCTCGTGCAAATCCTCACAAATAATAATTTAAGGGAAGCAGCAGACAAACATCGACTATCTGTGCCTCACCCCACTCTCCTGTTAAGAACGTGCCAGACACAGAAACCCGCTGTCCTTTTCTTCATGCGTGTGCACGTGCATTACTGGCAATAAGATGCATGCCTTTGTAAAAGTCAGATGCTGGCTTATGACCTTTCACAATCATTTCTAGCCATAAACCTTTAAACCAGCTGTTATATTAATTCACCTGCTCCCCCGACCACCGCCTCTCTCTCTCACCCAACACCCACTCAACAGGTCCTGACGCACACACTCAAACACAGGCGTGATTTTTTTTGTTTAGAAAATAATCTGTAATCTCTATTCTTGCTTCACAAAATTTCATTTTAACCTGATTAATTTTTACTGCCTTATCTTGAAATGTGCTAATTAACTTTCATTCAGTAGCTATGAGGTGATGCAGTTTCTCAAAAATATGAGCTTTTCAAGAACAAATAGGCACACAATGTATTTCAGAGATCATGCAATGGGGTTTTTAAGGGTCACTGAACCTCCACAGCACGAAGGACTGCCCAGAGGGAAACATAATCCTTCAATTATTTCAAAACTGAGGCATGACAGTCTGCAAATTTTGAATGAAAACAAGTGAAATGATTTCATTACACTAACGGTTTGTTTGTCCCTAATGCCTTTTAATGTAAATTTGGCCAAAGCTTTTATCCGAATGGATTTGGAAAGCCACGACAGAGAACATATTTTAATATGAGATACGTCCTCCCTGATCACAAAGAGGAATCACAACAGCATGACGAGACAACACGAAGGTCCATTAACATAATAGTGCACGCTCATTATTCTGTTATTATTTTTGATTTAATTTCAGAGATACATTCATTTTATTCATTTCATTACTGTCGTTCACAATATTCACTCATGTGACGGAGGGTAAATTGTGTTGTCTTGTTTCACTAGTAAATGTTAAACCAGTTAATTCTGGTTTTACCTCATTTCCCCCCAACCTCCCTCCACATCTCTCTAACTTTTCCTCCCTGGATCATTGTGTTTTTACTTGAACCTCAAAATCTCCCGTTCCTCCCCCACTCCTCCTTGTCTTGTCTACAGCCTTTCTCACCACTGATCAGAATAGCTACAGACGGCTCTCACATACATATTTCTTTTGTCTCTTTTGAAGAAGACATTCTAGCTTTGTACTTGGGTTCATAATCTTTATTTGGGTTGTTCAGAAAACACATCAGTTTTCCTCATCGCTGCAGCTCCTCTTTTCAGCCTCTGTCTGGAACTCTTTTTAGTCCTGTCTCTTCAAGGCCCCCCTCCCGATAAAGCCCAGTCCGCTGTGAAAACTGTAATTGGGAACAATGGGGTTTGAGTTATTCATAGGCGGCCACCAAGAAGACAGTTCAAACAATTTTCTATTTCTGTGTCCTCCTCATACAACTTTCTTTGTGAGTTTTAACTTTCTGCAGAACTTTAACTAACGACACATTTGTCAAAATTGTGTCCTCCTTTGTGTGCTCCATTAGCTCCTCAGGAGGGCACTTCAACATGTTTGTGTAACGCTTCTTTGCCGCTGGTGAAGAAAAAAACTGTGGACACTAATCAACAAGAAAAATTGAACACTGGACTGCTAATAAATGTAGGTAAAGGGGGAAAAAGAATTACAGGGCAAGATTTCACCCTTTCCTTGTGTCTTTTCCCTGAACTGCAGCAGCCATAAATCAGAGTTAATAGAGAGGGAGGCAAACATTTGGAGCATAACTCCAGGAGGACAACTCACTAAAAAGTTTAATTAAGTCTACATGGACAGAGCTGTGGCTGGCAGGATGAAGACAAATCAGTACAGTACAATGTCGAGATAATTTCCTACTTAGCAGAACTAGGCCACATAATATTTGCACATTCCTTCAGGTTGAGGTTTATTTTAGTCAGCTGTGCTCTCTGCTTGTATGAAAGACAACTTTCCCAATACTGTCTAATTTACACATGCTTTTATGGCATATAGTGTTTCGAGCTGATTAAAACTAAATTAACACTGCTGTTTGACCCAGCTCTGCTTACGTCAACTCTCATACTCGCTGTTTCTTGCTCTCTAATGGTGAAAGCATAATTGCACAA